TAAGAAGTTTAATCAAATTCTTACATTTTTTAGAAAGGTTCAAAGAAAAAAGCCAATTCATGAAGGAACAACGGGGAACATGTAACACACATGCGTTGCTAAAATCTATTCATTGCAAAATGAAGATCGATAGATAGCCCAAGTGAGGTTGCAAATTTAAGAAAATGCACGAATTTTATCAGTGTTTTGGGAAGATTAACCAGTTTAACTGTAAATTGTACTTTATTTACTCTAAAAGAGAAAGAAATTTAAAGCAGCACGAGGCAAAGAAATTGGGTTTCGTTATTAGGCTCATCCGAAGGTTTTAGACTTGAACCATAAAGCAAAGAATAGCATTACGTTTAACACAAAAAAAGAAAGGGATTTTTTCTTCGATGTTCAGATTTGATTTTGCGCAAAAGTATTAGAATAGCAGGTTTATTAGTAAAACTTATTTGTTCTGATCAATAGCTCCTTAACAAGAAGAGTTATGATTAAAAACATAAAAGATATCAAGCTTACATGCTATTTACTTTAGCTTAACGTGTTAATTTTCATGTTTAGTGATATATCCTGTATTTCTTGGGCTTTCTAACGCATTTAAACTTGTTATTTGTGGTCGGGAGGGAGTAATAAACATGCAATTTACGAATTATATTTAAAGTTTAGAGATGTTAAAGATTAAAGTTATAATTAGTTAATTGGATTTTACACACACAGGAAAGATGCAGGCGTAGATGGGTTGAGAAATTTGTTTAAAATTCAAAATATTAAATATCAGCAAGGTTGTTTAAATATTTAGTATCTCCAACAATTTTTATAATACAAAGAAGGAGGAAGAGTGCTGTAAAGTAATTGTTTTATATACATGGGAAAGGACGAGCTGGTATTTTCCAATTAATGTTGCAGTGAAAATTTGCACACCCTGTATTATTTGCAAGATTGTTGTAAAAAGAAGAAATTGCAACAATTTCCTGTTGCCAAAACTAGCGAAACATTACTGTACCAGGGTGACCTGGGGCTTGGGGGGTCAACTAAGCATACACAAACAAACAGACGTATCATAAAACAAACAGAAAAGCATTATACAAACTAACAGATTTACGTTCCTCAAAACTAACATTAATCAAAACTGAGAGACAAACATTACTCAAAACTAACAGACAAACATTATTCAAAAGTCAAAACTAACAGACAAACATTTATCAAAACTAACAGACAAACATTACTCAAAACTAACAGACAAACATTACTAAAAACTAACAGACAAACATTACTCAAAACTAACAGACAAACATTACTCAAAACTAACAGACAAACATTACTCAAAACTAACAGACAAACATTACTCAAAACTAACAGACAAACATTATTCAAAAGTCAAAACTAACAGACAAACATTTCTCAAAACTAACAAACAAGCATTACTTAAAACTAACAGACAAGCATTACTAAAAACTAACAGACAAACATTACTCAAAACTAACAGACAAACATTACTCAAAACTAACAGACAAACATTACTCAAAACAAAACTAACAGACAAAGATTATCAAAACTAACAGACAAACATTACTTAAAACTAACAGACATTCTACATTACTCAAAACTGAGAGACAAACATTACTTAAAACTAACAGACAAACATTCTTAAAACTAACAGCCAAAAATTACTCAAAACTAACAGACAAACATTACTCAAAACTAACAGACAAACATTACTCAAAACTAACAGACAAACATTACTCAAAACTAACAGACAAACATTATTCAATTACTCAAAACTAACAGACAAACATTACTCAAAACTAACAGACAAACATTACTTAAAACTAATAGACAAACATTGTTAAAACTAACAGCCAAACATTACTTAAAACTAACAGACATTCTACATTACTTAAAACTGAGAGACAAACATTACTTAAAACTAACAGACAAACATTCTTAAAACTAACAGCCAAACATTACTCAAAACTAACAAACAAACAAACTTAAAACCAGCAGACAAACATTACTTACAACTAACAGATAAACGTTAAACAAACTAACTGACAAAAACAAACTAAAAACTAACAGACAAACATTACAAAAAAACTTATAGAGAAAAGTTATACAAAACCAACTGACATACATTATACAATCAGACACTTACGCAGTCCCATTCCAGCATAAAATGTATGGCATTTATTGGAACAATACTAACAGATAAGAATAAAAGGACTTTATTTTGAGTTGCGAACTTTTTAGTTCTTTTTAATTCAAGATGTCTACACTCTACACTCTACAATCAAGAAATGTCCATGGTAAAAACTATGGAGTATTATGAAAGATTTTAATTTAGTCAAAATTAAACGAAATATTTCAGTGAGAAAGAGAAAGGTGGGAATGGTGTTAAAGTTACAAAATATGGTGAAATTGTCACGCCAACAAAATATTCAAACAATCTTGTAGACACAAGTGGTTACATTAGTGAAATTAACAGGACCCTAAGTGTAAAAAATGCGGGCCATAAAATGGCGGGAAAAAACAAAATGGCGGAACTAAAGAAAAAAATGGCGCCTGCTCAAGTGTACAGACCGAGTCTTAGTTTTCTTTCAAATGGAAAACCTTTTAACTTGAAAATGATGAAAAACCCTGTAGGTGAAACCAAACCCTCAAAGGTCAGCTTGAAGCCGAAGCCCGGATCTAAACTGCCTGTAATTGCTTCTAAAGTCAGCAACATGACACTGCGAAGCAACGGAAAACCTGTGAAAATCTTTAGCTTAAAGTAAGTGTGCAGTAAACTAATTTAAACCAAAGCAAAATTACAATCCTTAGTCAAACTAAATTACACAAATTAAAATCACACTTATCTTCATTATACACGCAGTGAGATACATGAAAGATCCAAGATTTGTGGACACAAGTTATGATTTTGATTAGTCTGATGAAAACTAAATTAACCACGCAATTTTAACTTAATTTAAACTTAAATATACATAAAATTGCTTTAAAGATCGTCTTGCTTTTTAACTGTTTTAAGGGTTATACTGCCTACAATGCACTGTTTAATGAATTTTTTCAAAATATCTAAAAGCAAATGTGAATTGGATTATTATCATTGTTTTTACATATGAAAACTGATAACAAAATCAAGCATCTACACTCTACAGATACCAATAAATTTCAATTTCTAAAAATTTGAAACAAAAACTAATCCATTTCCTAAAAATACAAAGAAATTTCTCCGTTCCTTTCAGACTTGAATATCTATTTGAATGTGTTCATGAAAGCGAAATGTAAATATACAAGATAATCAGTATGATATAGGTACAAGATATTAATACCACACAATTAACCTGTAACATTTTTCCGATAGGGTTCGTATGATAATATTTCTTTTGGATGCCTTTGATGAAGTCAAATAATGATATTATTTGATGACAATTTTGTAAGAATAATTTCCTTCAATGCAGTCTATAATTATTTCTTAATAATTCAGTGTTGTTTTTGCTTAACATTCTTTTAGTGTACCAATAAAAAAATCAATATCTTTCAACTTATTTTTTTTCTGAAACTCAAGTTTATTCACCCCAAAATTCAATAACATTTACAGACCTTAAATTTAGCTAATAAAACTTCAATTAAACACGAAATACTTGAATTGTGCTCACAACACTTTACTCTAATAATTCAAAATAACAACAATTAGACTTCATAAAGTTTATAATGCTATAAAAACATTAGTGATAGAAAAAAAATCCAATGGAATTTAAAGACGATCGACATAAAATCGTTGTAAACTCTATTAAATGTGTCAATAATCAAAACTCAAAACCATGCCTGATACAGTGAGAATCAGAAAATAGTGAAATTTTGTTTTATTTTATTATAGAATGTCGATTAGGTCTTTAAACATTTTCAGACATATATAAAATACTTTGACATTTCCGAAGACATTCATTCCACAGATTTCTGGTCCCCACTGTATATGTTCAATTTTGTCTTTAAGGTCGTCTTCCTGATCCAATTTTTTTGAATAAAAATATAAATTTATAATACAAGGTGTGACACGAAACATGATAGTTGAATATCGTCTTTATTTTTGTCGTAATTAAGACAAAGTTCTTTAAAGAACAGAAATGACAGACCACGTTTTGGAATGGCCAAGACTAGAGTAATTTTGTAATTATAAATTCAAGAATTCTACTTCTAAAATTGGGTTAAAAATTAATGCCGCAAATTATTTCAAAGATCAAAGACGACCTTCAATTTGTCTCTAAACTCATATATATCTATATCTATATTCCAGGTCGGTGTCTGGTATTGATGACTTGTATGATAGAACAGACCATGGAGTCAGGATAAAACAAAAGATTGGAATAAAACCATCAAATTCACACAACCTTCATTCCACGGGACCAATCTATTCTCATAAACCTCACGAGATGGATAAAGGGACAGTTATATCAGCTGATTCTAAAACAGCTGATTCTAAAACAACTGATACTAAAACAGCTGATTCTAAAACAACTGATACTAAAACAGCTGATTATATATCAACTGATTTTAATACAGCCGATTCTAATACAGTTAATTCTAAAAGAGTTGTGACCAAATCAGCTGAATCTACAAAACACCATTTTACAGATAAAGTTACAAAATCATCTGTCTTGAACTTTAAAATTCCAGTGTATTTTGATTCAAGCTACATGCAACATGTGCAAAATCTTAATCTCAACCGATCAGCAACGACATTATTATCAACAACAACAACAACAATACCAAGATCAACATCAACAAAAACAATAATAACAACAACAAAAACAACAACAACAACAACAACTACAACCACAACTCCCACTCTTAAGACCAAAATAAAAAATTCTCCTATTTTGAATTTTAAAGTGCCCTTATTTAAACCATATTCAGCTTCTGTTAACCGGGTTTCAATAAATTTCCCAGAAACAGCAGATCTACCAACAACAGCAGATCTACCAACAACAGCAGATCTACCAACAACAACAACATCAACATCAACATCAACATCAACATCAACATCAACATCAACATCAACATCAACATCAACATCAACATCAACATCAACAACAACAACAACAACAACAACAACAACAACAACACCAACAACTGCAAAAACAACTCTCAAAAAGAAAATCAATAACTCACCAACCCTTAACTTTAAAATACCCGTCTTTAGTGCAAATAGGTATACAAAAATAGCAATAACAACAAACCCGAAATTATCAACATCAACAACAATAACATCAACTTCAACAACAACAACAACAGCTCTAGAAACAGCTACTGAAAGTTCAAAATATACAAATTCTCCAGTTTATAACTTTAAACTTCCCATTTTTCCAGCACACTTTTATTCAAAGACTAAACCAACAACAACAACAACAACTACCCCAACAACAACAACAACAACAACAACTACCCCAACAACAACAATAGCAACAACTACTGCTGCTCCTACAACAACAGAACCAGGATTTACTAACTCACCAATATTCAATTTCAAACTCCCGTTCAACTTTGATGCCGGGTTTATCTCCAATTCTTTATCTCGGCTTATCACTGGAGACCAATCTACCGGATTTTCTCTTTTAAATATTCTTCAGCAGGATACAACTAGGAAATCTATCAAGGAGATGGTTGAAAAGAAAAAAGCAGAGAAAATCTCGCAAAAATCCGAATCAACAACAGCAACAACTACGCCTATAACAACGACAACAAAAACACCAACAACTACGCCTACAACAACGACCACCACAACTACATCAACTACAACAATAAAACCTACACCGGCAATCAATAAGAAGTTAAAGAACAAGAAGGCGACTAATTCTCCGATTTACACGTTTAAACTTCCATTCTCCGGAGAAGGAGGATTGGATAGCTCTTTACTCCGTATACTATCAGGTAAACAGAGGAATATGGAACAGGAGACGTCAACGGAACAGAGCACAACGTCGCAACAAACTTTAGAGACATCAACGGAACAAAGAACAACGTCGCAGCAGTCTCTGGTGGAAACACTCTTCCACCGCGCATCAACGGCATTAACATCGAGATTAGAAACTACAACTACAACAACAACAACACAACCTTCTGTAAATCCCAGAAAAGCTGAAAATTTATCCAAGGAGGATTCAAATATAGAGCACAAGTCCATCATGGAGGAAGTAACTACAGAGCGATCTATGACCCCAAGTCTTGTAACATGGCTCTCTGGGCCTTTCCGACTTAATGGTTTGCCAACCTCATTAGTTAGAGTCCCTCCTCCTTTCCCCGCCCTAGATCCGCTCTCTTGGGTAGACAAGATTCGATCTTCTCTTTACCCTGTTACAAAGATTATTTTTGGTTAATTAAACCTGTACATAGTAATACAGGATGTCCCACAAAAAATGACAAATAAAAGACGACTTTTAAAAGGTTAAACTACTTTTAAGCCTTAAAATAGATTTTATTTTATTTATCTCTCTTAAAATTAGATTATCAACTGAATGCCCCAACATATTACAAAAAGATGACATGACTTGGCTATCTAAAAAGAAATTTTCATGTTTTGAGGGACACCTTGTAAAATATTTGTGTATATATTTTATATGCTCAAACTTCAAAGACTTTGAAGGAAAATATCAAATTGAGAAAACTTGAAACTATGAATATATGCATATATATATATATATATATATATAGAATTATATATATGAATATTGAATATGTAAATTGTAAATATCTTCAAAAAATTTCAGTCAGGTTATTTTCATTCTTCCTGTTCTTTGCATTCTGCCATGCTATAAATATTATAATTATGTGATTAAATTGTGAACAGATATTGTAATTATGTAATTATGTAATTAAGTGATGTAATTAATTTCTGTTTTGTCATTAACGTAAACTTGGTAATAAGTTAGTTAAATATGGTTAGAAACCAAATTGTTAAATAAATGACCTTATTAGTATAAAATATATTCTTTGATATTTTTCATCGTTTTTCCTTTTATTCATATGAGTTTCTGTAAGTACTTCTGTCCATCTGTCAGTCTGTCTATCTGTCAGTCCAGGCCCGTACCATGATTTTTCCAGGGGGGTGCAATAATGAAGCGCGCCGCAGGCCAAATTTTTTTTTTTTTTAAAGCAATGCTAGGTTTGTTTTTTGGGTGGTATATGGTTTTCTTTATTACATTGTCAATGTACACTATAAAGACTAAACTTTATAACAAGTGTATTTAAGCTTTTAAGGGTTACATTTTAGTTTCTGAAACTTTTCAGTTTACATATACAATATACTTAAAAAATAAATGAATGGTACTTTAGCTTCAGGAAAAAATTTATTATTTAAAATCAAGGCTTCTTGTCCCTCGGCCTCATCATGATATTATGAAGATGAATAAAAAATGAAATTTCTAATATTATGTTTAAAAGAGTTTATTTATTGACATTGAGACATTGAGACATTCTTAGTGAATTTTTGAGTACTCAAAAAAAAAACCTTCTACTTTGACTAAAAATGACAAATATCCTCGCTTAAAATAATGTTTTTGAAACTCCCAAAAATGGCTATTATATTCCAAAATAAATGGATGAATTTTTTCCTTTTAACCAACTGTTCAAACTGTAACTAGATTTTAGAAAATTATGAGAAACAATTTCTTTGATATGGGACGGGGGGGGGGGGTGCAAATTCTTCATTGCACCCTTGCACCCCACCCTGGTTACGGGCCTGTGTCAGTCTGTCTATCTGTCAGTCTGTCTATCTGTCAGTCATTTCTATCTTTCAGTCTGTCTATCTGCCAGTCTGTCTATTTGTCAGTCTGTCTATCTGTCATTCTGTCTATCTGTCAGTCTGGTCATCAGTTAGTCTGTCTATCTGTCAGTCTTTCTATTTGTAAGTCTGTCAGTCTGTCAGTTTGTCTATAGGTCCGTCTATAAATCTGTTTTTCTGAAACAGTCACAACAGTAACAACTCTTAGCTATTGTAGCACGTATACAAATGTGGACAGAGACAAATGTGGACAGAGACAAATGTGGACAGGGACAAATGTGGACAGAGACATATATGGACGGAGACAAATATGGACAGAGACAAATGTGGACAGAGATAAATGTGTATAGAGACAAATGTGGAGAGAGACAAATGTGGACAGAGACAAATGAGGAGGGAGACAAATGAGGAGGGAGACAAATGTGGACAGAGACAAATGTGGACAGAGACAAATGTGGACAGAGGTAAATGTGTACAGAGACAAATGTGGACAAAGACAAATGTGGACAGAGACAAATGTGGACACAGAAAAATGGGGACAGATGTAATAAATACAAAGGTCCATAGTAAATCTAGACAAATTACGTTGTATATTGTCCATACGGCTAAATGTGTTCATTAGTAAATACATAAATCATGTCTTGTGATTAAACCAATCTAGACACGTAGATATATATAAGTCCGTCAAACCAACATTGGAATTGCTTAAATTGTATAACAGTGCATAATTTGTAATTACGCTGTTAAGACCTAACTCTAATCTAACATGAAGAAATATACTCAGTTGATATAGAGACTCCGCTTTGATTTCTGCAAGAGAGTAATCATGTCCTAGTTCAAGACCGTGCTCATTGGAGAGACACAGATTGCGCTCATTGGTTTGGCGTTGATCGATTACGTGCTTGTGTCCGTGGAGAGACATTGATAGCTTCTCATGCCCATTGGTTTGACATTGATCGATTAAATGCTTGTGTCCGCGGATAAACATAGATAGCTGATCGCGTCCATTGGTTTGGGGCTTGTGTACATGGAGAGACATTGATAGCTTATCATGCCCATTGGTTTGGCGTGACAAACGTCAGTCATAGAAAAACGACGGACATAGAAAAATCTCTGACAGACACAAACGTTGGAGAGATAAAACGTGGGTTAGAGACAATTTGCATGTGACAGATGACAAAATGTGAAGAAAAAAACTTCAAGAAAATTTTATCATAATAATTTCAGAATTTACGTAGAAAGCAAATTTTAAGCTGTTTTGATCGTTTTCAAAGTTACGATCAACAAATATAATTCAAAATGGATCTGTTCCCATTATAGATTATATAAATTAAATAAATTAAATAAATAAATTGAATAAATAAATTAAGTAAATAAATTAAACCCTTTTTCGTCGTAAAAATGCTGAAAATATTTATACCTCTAGGTGTTTCTTATTTTAACCCTATGGCCATATCCATTCTCTCCATCTTTGCTTTTTTAAAGGATAATATTTTTTTTAATAATTTAAACACTAAAATAATATCTTGGCTTGTTAGCAGTTATTATAATGTTTTTAAAACAAGTAACTGCATAGTATAGATCAATTTTAAGTCCTAATAATTCAGATTTGAATATTGTGAGTTTCATTTCTTTTTTAATTCGATGCGGATTTTTAAACTTTTTAAAAATACATTTTAAATGTACAATTAGTATGTTGATGTGAAAGAATGATATAATGACGGTTATTAATGTAGAACAATAGTCATACATCTCTAGTTTCCATCTGGGTTTCCCACCATTTTATCCCAGAAAGATACATCTTTTTACATGCAGGGTGACTCAGAAAATATTACTGTTCCTGAAACAGTGACACACATCAAACAAAAAGCTTAACATATTGGAAATAAATTGTATTGCCCTGACTATTTTAAGCAATACAAATGAACTTTTTTTCTATAAAATAATTTTTTTTTGTAACACCCTGTAAACATCTTCTTGTTCTCCTACTTTTACTTTCTAACGAACATTTTTATAATCCTCATAGAAACCAGGCATTTCCGCTTTTAGCCTTTGTTAAAAATTAATTTTTAAGAAAGAAGGAGGAGCGCACCGTGCACCTAGATCCAAGCTTCTTTTTAATGCTACATCAATTTTCATGTCTAGGTTAAGTTTAAAGTGTCGCCACGCCTTAAGCTTTGGTTCCTCATTAACATCCTTTTTTTGTTGTTTTCCAATACACGGACAAGTTTAAACCATTGCATTGTCTTCAGCTTCACTTTTTAAGAATTAATTGGCAACATTCTCATCGATTATTTCGTGAGAGCTAGCAACCTTTCTTCGAAAAGATGATTTTCAGAAAACATAGAATTGGGATTCCTGGAATAATGAGAGATAAGTCTGGGGGAATAAGTAGTTTTAAAAACAAGAGACAATAAATATTAATTTTACACCGAAATGTATACTTTTAGAGATGATTTAGTCTCCTCATGGTAATTAAATAAATGTTATGACAATTAAATTTTATGGTTCAAAAGTTTCCATCAAAACTACTTTTCAACTGAACATATCTGAACTATAAAGTTTTTTTCAGCTTAAAGGGATTGTAAGAATAACTTTAAGCGACTCTCTTTGTAACGATAGCAATGCCTGATTTTTCAACGGTATCCTTGAAACCTTAATCTGATTAAAGACGTGGAAAATACCTCTCTAACTAGAAAACTGATATTTCTGTGAATTTCTCCATTGTTTCTTTAAAGCAAGAAAATCGCCAGTCGCTTTCCTGAGAAACCGCAAATAAAATTATTAGTCTAAATAAACAAAAATATGCTTATCGAACAAACATTATTAGACAAATCTTTTAAGGGTATGGCTATCTTCGTATGGAGGGTCACTTGAAGTTTTACTTACAGTCCCTTTAAAAATGATTTACGTGCAATCGGAATTTGTGCAATTTTTGGTCGTTTGGTAACCAACGTTTTATCCGTAAATTTTGTCTTAGATTTCTTCATCGATTTACAAAATATATTTTTTAAATCAATTACATGTTTTTTTTCTTCAAATTCTTCATAATTTTAATTTTTTCTAGTTAGATATACAATGTTTTAATTCCATTGTTAGAAATCCAGAACATTTTCTTTGTTTGAAAACCATGAGAACAGGAGTACCCACAAAGGATGAGACTTCAGAGACGACTGTACAGAACTTATATAATCTTTTTCCTTACATTCATGATTCCCTGCAACTGTAAACTTGTTTCTTTTGTTACCAAATCAATAATTAACTCATTAAAGACCACATACAAGGCAGAAGACGGAATGTTAGGTATATCTTACAAAGCTTCATAATCCTATCATTCTGTTCAACATTTAGAACAAAATATTCGTTATTTTGAAATGGTTTTGGATAAGTAGTTTCATTAGGTTTACATCTTGTGTTTTTACCATATTTGGAGTTGAAACTGTTTTGTTTTTTCACTAAAAGCATTGGTTTTATGAAAATTGTATCCACATGCAATGGCGAAAATAACTGTTGTAAAAATGTCAAATATTCTGATTGCGTCAGAAGCGTCAGAGCGCACTAGCCTGTCACGTTTACGCTAATTACTATCGTGGGATCATATAACAAACATAATAAACATAATAAAGAGGTAGACAGTAGAACAGAATAGTTATCAGGCCGGGCTTTGAAAATCCTGATTAACCTTTGCAATGAACGGTTCAACAAATTTGAGAAAACTGAATGAATGCTTTATTTATTTTGGAATATTAAGATTTAAAAATATTTATTCATTATGGAATAATTAAGATTTAAACGTATTTTTTATTTTGGAATATTAAGATTTAAACTTATTTATTTATTTTGGAATATTAAGATTTAAACTTATTTATTTATTTTGGAAAATTAAGATTTAAACGTATTT